CAGAATTGCATGCGAGGCCCACGACGCGTTTCTCGTAGTATCCGTGGCTTGCGGGTAAAGATGCGTAGTTATTTGCAATGAGTGATAAGCAGGGTACAATACGGGGATTGATAGCACGCTGTAAGAGATAAGTCTGTGCCAACGACGGAAATAATTCCCATAGAATTTCATAATTCCCACAGATATTTTGGCTGGCAGCACACATGAGGAGATTTTGCTCACTCCGTTCGGGAACGATTGAGGTATCGTAGACCGGGGGCAGCGGATCGTGAGGTTCCTGGGAATCGACCAGCATGTTTGATTGCCATCTTTCCAGTCGCCTAGATGAGTCGCATGTAGCAGCGATGTGCTACGGTGCTTAAGCAGTATTACCGTAGGGCCATAACGAGACTCCCTGCGACATCCTTCCGACTACAAGATTGTTATAAGAAGAGGATCGCGATCCTAATTTCTTAGGATGCGGCAAGGATATAAAATCTGAAATCCAGCGGAAGTGAAAACGGAGATCAATATCTTGCAAACAATCTTCGTCTCCGGGCACATGACTGGTTCAGTCTATATCTACTTGCATGCTTCTAAATTGGGCACATGGATTCGTGAAGACGTTCATTAGTATGATTTCATTTATATCTGGACGTGCTTCTCTCAGCCGGATGCTGTCGACGAAGGTTAGCAGTGAGCTATCGGCCGCAGATCTATAAGGTGGAGCTCCGGATTGGATAGATATATTGTCGTATGCAGCCAGCCCGCTTGGAAGGCGTGGCAGACCTACTGCATCAAAGGTCTACCATGCCTGTATTTGCCCTCGCTGGCCGGATGCTCAGAGAGATTAAGTACAGGTATCTGAGAACCCCTATTTGTAATTATCATTCCTGTGCAATATGCCTGAGAAAGCGGGATAATCTGGCTAGGACCAAGTCTTGATGATCTTCTTCTTCTGATCATTATTATTATATCATGAATGTTGTTGCTGTCGTTGTTGTTGCTAGTGATGTTAATGTTGTGGTTGATGGTGGTGGCGGTGCTATTCTTGTTGATGCGGTTGCTAGTATTGGCGGCGGGAGATTTCTTCCGCATACCATTTCCCGGTCCCCAATTCCTCTTGGCAGCCGCTTTTCGAAACAAGGCTGCAAGCATGGGCATCCGATGAGCGATTAGCTGGGTGGAGACGCTAGTAGGAATTTCTGCCATCAAATTCAAAGTGCTAGCACAAAAGATTCCCGGTCTATGGGACAGGCGGCTGCATAGAGCTGGCCTTATGCCACCCCGCGTTTTCCGTGTCGCCAATCAATCATTTATTAGCAGCTCCGCTTGATCCTTGAAGATCAGCAAAATACAGTAGTCTGGAGCCCCGAATGCTGCTCCAGTCATGGAAGCTCAATACTTGAAAATATTATCTATGAATCTATCGTAACGAACCTACGATCTGAGATTTGAGCTATATCGGTCATCCTGGTCGTTGCCCTTCCTGAATTCTTTCATATCTTCCACGTATATTCGTCAAAAATCGAAGAAGATGTCAATTGATGATGGCATAGAGATATAGAATAGGCTCTCAGGATCCTCATCTATATAAGCATCAAAGATCAGTCGGTCTCCACACTTGCGACTTTCGGAAAAGTCCTCCCTCCCAGCAGGGGTCGAAGAAGAGACTTTTTCCCCGGGCTCTAAAGAGCAATGACTCTCGATTTGGTGGGATCCCTAACCTGGATCTGTTCGATCCGGGTCGCACTTTCGTGCGTAGGGCTACCCCTCTCGAGGAAGGACCTATTCGCCTTCTTATTGATGCGAGAATTCAAGACTACGATTCCAATAGAATATTCAGGAAATATATAAGCAAATCTATGAAGACGTGAGTTATGGAAATCAAGAATAAAATGGAGGATCATATCTCTCTAATCATATTTATGTGAAATATTTGTCTGAGTCGCAAGATATTTTCTATTCGCTAAAATATGAATTGCAATCAGAATGAAACGATTAATATTTTGAATATATATAATAATACGATAGATGAAATCTATATCCGACCCCTGCCAGCACTGATCTATTTCATAAGATCGGTCTGATCTATATATCAGTCTGAGCACGTGCCATTGCTGACATACGAATATATATATATATATATATATATATATATATTATGAAATCTTGAAAGATGATTCAAAATTGATATTGATAAGAATATATCGATCCTGATTTCGAAATATGATATATTCTCGTATATGTTACCATATAATTATTTTGAATTGCTATATGCTTCAATATCATATCTAGGCATAAAGCTTCACAACAAATGCTAAATCTAGATACCACAATCTCCATCATTCTTTTGACGCTGATTCTGCTCGGTCAGAAGCACATGACAAGATAAGGATCTGGGAGCTTCGCTTCGTCCAAATAAGGAATTGACCTCAATTCCTTAGATGCTAAGGCTTTAGGAGATTTAAGATATGCTTCTTATAAAGAAGGAGACCGTTACGATGAAGATAATAGGAGCAGCTATCGTTGAATATAGCACTACTATTCAGAACTCGTAATGAAGATATTTGACGTGACAAATGATTTCCAATCTCGTAAAGAAGATTTATCTATATTAGAAGCTGTCTATATCGGAATATATACCCCGCCATCGAGACTTCAGCCACGCTGCTACGGAAATTCATCCCGTCGGAAATATCCTATTTTAAGCACGCCATATGGCGGGCGCAACACTTTTCAGCGAACGTCTCAAGAACTCGCTCGTCTCAGGAAAAGAGGGCTGATATCAGTCGTTTTCTTGGAACGACCGTTTGATAAGACCTCGTATCCGGAGCGCCCGATCATCTATTTGGGGAGTGGTGATATTACCAATTTTATATCTTCCTTCCCTCTACTAAATCTCCATAATAATTTTCCGGATTCTATCCGATTCGATTTTACGTAATTATCGGTCATCTTGAAATTCATTTGATTTGGCAACGCCAATTGCAGGGAACGGAATTGTGCAGATACCGGCGCCGGAATACTAGTTTTTTATCATTATCATATTTATTTCATCGTATCAAGCATCTAGAAATTCGATCAATTTAATTATAATAACTCTATCATGGAAAGCAGTGAACCCAAGAATTAAAATATATTAACTCCCGAATTTATTGTCCATTATCGAACCGCCCTGGACTCCTCAGGCGCGGACAATTTACTTATGATTCAATTGACACCTGAACGTTGCGCGACGCTCCATTCCACGAGTATCCGGCTCCTACACGACATAATTAAATCATGATTTAATTCTTTCTGCTATATTATCCGAACCCGAGGCGGCAATTAAATCATGGTTTAATTCTTCTGAATCAGTGGCCAGATCTGAAATACTTAAATAATCTATTCGAATAGTTGGCAAGAATATAAGAATTAGATCATCATATAATTGCTTCTGAGGATCCTTGTTTCAGGCTCAAGGTTTAAGGTGAGATGCACGGTCCGCATACTTGTTCATCTACTGTGTTGTGTGCAGGTATATCTATGGGACGCGTCCATGGGTGATCGTTTAAAACTGTCCGAGCTGTCTGTCATCTCCCTCCAGCTAGTATGTGTCGACTTTAAGAGCCACTGTGTTATTTATAACAAACAATGGTAGATGACAATCCGAAAAGGAGAAGCAAGATCCTGAGCAAGAGAAAATTTCAGGGGACAATTTCGGTGGTGCTTACCAAGAAGGACGTCAAATTCCGTAATTGAACCATGATTTAATATGACTTCCCGCTAGTGCGGCGATCTACTTATTTACGCCAAAATTGCTTGGACCCTGATAGGAACCAATTATATTATTGGTGAATTCCAAGAAGGACGCCAAATTCCGCAATTAAATCATGATTTAATGTGGTATCCCGCTAGCATATTATTCATAAATCTCGGCAAGAATATATATTATCATATATGGGAGGCAATGAATTCATGATTTAATTGAAATACATATCGATATAATGACAACCCGATTTAATTATATCTTCGGAAAGTCCAAGGTATGTAAAACTTGAATCAAAATTTAAATTTTTCTAACTTCTAGATTCATTAGCTTTCATTCCACCATAAATAAATTCATTAAATCCAGAAATATTGAAAATCAAAAGATACGAGTACAAGCTCCCCAAATATTTCCCCCCCTCAAATCTCTTTTTATAATATTTCTCAAATATATATAAAGAATTCCCCCTACTACGAAGAATCCAATTATATAATAGGAGATCTAAATCTCTATATCCGATTTATTTATATTAATCAATTCACTGAATCCTTCTAATTTTATGAAATCCTAGCGTCCCGAAAATCTAAGACAGAAAGATATATAAAATGAGAAATCCGAACGTGCGTAAGTCCACGAAATAATCAAATCCAAATCTCCTCAGAAATCCGTAGAATATGAAATCTCCCTAATATCCCAAAATTCATTCAAGAAGAAATCTCAATCTCATTCAAACCTATAAAATACGAAATCCTAATATACTCTTAACGTCTCATAGCGCCATGAATTAATAAATCCTTACGTCCAATAAGTTTCATATTCCCTATCTTTTTGGAATCCGCATAGATTTCTTAATTCCCTCCCTATATTCGTAATCTTCGCACCTACGACCTTCATCTTACGAATCCCGAGTTCGTATTTCGTGAGTCCTCTCCATTCGAACGTCCCTCTTCCCTAATTATTTCCGAGCTAAAATCTAAGAAACAAAAATAAATTTACTATCTTCCAAGAAAATTTAAATGACTCATGAATAATTATACAGAAAAAGATAAAACGATCTCAGAAATAAGATACGATCAAACAACCACTGGTGGCACAGCAGTTGGAAGGCAGCGCGCCCCTTTTGCCTTGCTACAAAAAGGGATCCCTGGTCGTGAGCCGCACGCACACACATGCCATCATGCAACGCTCCTGCTGCACTGGCTTTCTTTCACCCGTCCTCGGCTCATGCCAGGTGTCCGGGTAAACTGTGGTTGTCGACATCTGTACAACTTTACACTGTCGAAACATCTTCGTTGCCCTTGAGCTTGGCCTTCCGAACTTGCCTTCCAAGTCGTATGGCCTGCTTTCGTAGCCGAGCCTCCTCGTAGGGCTCCAAGCGCCACTGTCCGGTGCGAAGTGCCTCCAACAGTGGCTCTCTTTCACAGCCGACCTTGGTAAGCACATCCGCCAGCATCTGGGAGGTGTCCACCCAAATCGCGTAGGCACTCGCTCGCTCATCATTGTAATCGTTCTCGCCCAGGATTTCCTTGATCTGGGCCACCAAGATCCGGACCCTTTTATCCTGGGGTTGTCCTGTGTCCCGGTTGAGGGTAGACTCGAGGCTCTTGGCGTCCGTGAAGGCGAGGATCTTTTCCTTGAGGTAGTAGCGGTCCATGTCGATCAGCTTGGTTCCCGGGTTGGTGACTTCTAACAACAGGTCCCTGACGTACTCCGCGCTTTCTACCCCAGTCAAGAAGCCATTCGCCTCGGCTGCCAACGTGCTCCGGCAGACACGCTTGATGCTGCCGCTATACGTCTCGAGCACCCAGATGGGGGCCAGGCCTCCACCCTTGATCTCGTCTATTGTCAGGTAGACCACAAAACCACACTGGGACTTCATACCCTCCAGGTTGGCCCAGGAACTGTCCGCAAAGCATGCCACCTTGCAGCACTCAAGGGTGATGGCAGACTCCCGGAAACACCACTTTGCGTCGGCCGTCTCCTTCATCATCTTCACGGCCTTGTTGAGGTCGATGACGTCCCGCACGCAGGGCTTGCCGAGGCTTTGTGAGGCGATGCTCACGTTCACCATCAAGTCGGGTCTTGACTGCCTAACAATCCACCCCATCTGGCCGATCAGGCCTCGAAACTGAGACTTCTCATCCTCGGTGAGCGGCTGGTTGGGCTGCTTCCTTCGGGATTTTTCCAGGACCATGTAGTCTACACCCTCGATGGCGTCGAACTGGTCCACCTCAATGTCCCAGCCAGCCGTTCTGCACCAGGTTCTTTCCGCAAAACCTGAACCGGCCGCGCTGAACCTTGAGGTGCAGCTCGGTTTCCAGCTTGGCCAAGGAACCTTCGTACTTAGCTCCTTCCCCGGCACTGAAAAGGTCATCGACGTGGCTGAGGTATATCCCAACCAAGGCTCCGGCGTCAAACAAGAAGAAGAGTGCGGCCTCGATCCGGGACATCACCCAGCCGTGCCTCCGCAGTGAGCGGAAGAGCTTCTTCCACCACGACCGGCCGGCATCCTTGGTACCGTAAATTGAGCCCTTGGCTCGGAAGAGGTCGTGGGGTGACACTCCCGGTGGTGGTGGCCGTGGCGGTCGCAGAATCAACAAGCGGTTGATTCCCTGTGACTGCAAGTAGGCTGTTGAAGCGTCGCTGGCTGCTATTACCCATTTTTGCATCACCGCGATGGCACACAGGAGGTTGAAGGCCAGCAAGGAGGCAGTAGGGGAATCGGACCTTATAGATCCTGGGTCCTCCTCCTGGCATCCTTGTACGACGAATCTGCTCTTCGGTTGGAAGGGGAAGTCCTTCTCGAGCTGGCTCTTCGATTTCCCGGTCTTCTTAGCGATGTGGCCAGCAAGGAGACGAGGCTTCTGGTTCTTGTCGGTGTGGACCCACCTCGTGCCGACAATCTTCGTGCCGGGCGGCAACTCCTTCACCTGCTGAGGGGTGAGCGTCTCCACAGCACCGAACTTTTGCCATGATGCCCATTCCTTCGCCATGGCCTCATGGAACTTCTCCCGGTCTCCCTGGCTGAGGCTCGCTAACTTGATCTTAGATCGGACGGCCTTGCCCGTAAGGAGAACATCGGCCGGCTCAGGAAGATGGTCCTCCTCCGCCTCACTTTCTTGGGTGGTCTCCACCAGTAGCTCCAGCAAACTTCTTGAGGTTGTAGTTCCGCACGTGCTCCGGCAACGTAGGGCAATCCCACCCCTCCAGCTCATCCTCAACAAAGTAGGGCCTGTCGGTGGAATGCCTTTCACCAGAGAGCCGGTACGGTGCGTAACCCATGGTCATTGGCGACCCGCTCGGTGAGGGAACAATGACGGGAACGGTAGGTTCACCAAACACTGGTTCAAGAGGAGCTTGTGGTGGCACTTCAAGTAGAACTTCAGCGGTAGGTACGACCTGCGGTGTAAATGGACCTGGCTGTCGCTCTGGTTCTTGGTGGGAAGGCCTCCTGATCACGGCTGTGCTAGAAGCTGAAGACGAACCTGGGACCCCACCCGTCCTTTGGTCTTGCGCGGAATCTCGAGGGACTAAGGCCCCAACTGGTTGGGCTTGACCTTGGCTGTCGCTAACGTCCATGACCCCACCCGTCCTTTGGTCTTGCGTGGGATCTCGATGGACTGTGGTCTCCACTGCGTCAAATAGGCCGCCGTCGTCTGGTACTTCAGGAACAGGTGGCAAGAGGTTCGGGACACACCAATCACCCTGGCTGGCCCGTGTCACTTGTAGAGCCTGGACGCTCCTGGTGGAACCTGGGCACGAAAGAAGTACACGTAGGAGCCGACAGGGAAGGGGCCACGTGTAGGGGTCGATTGGTGCAGCAGGGCACGTCGGACTCGACCGTCGGTGTCCATCCTCACCTGAGCCACGCGGGCTGCTTCACGTATGCCCCAATGTGCGGGCCATTGCGCTGTCTGGGTTCTCGGCGCCTTCCAGCACCTCAAGCTTCTGCTTCTCGCCATCTTGTAAAAGAGAGCCCGGGAGTCTGATCTCGGGCCGGCCCAGAACCCACTGATTGGGCGAGTACCCCGACGATCGGGGGAAGGAGTTCCGGCATTGAGTCACCACCGAAGACGCCAGGACCATATTATCGATGCCCTCTAGCTGCATATCGTGCACCGCCCGCTTGAAAACCTCCTTCCACAGACCGCCGGCTTTCTCCACACGGCCCTGCTTCCAGGGAGCCTCCAAAGGCATGGTCTCTTGTTCGACGCCAGCCAGGTACTCCTTGCCGCGGTCGACCTGGATTGAGTGTGGCAGCCCGGCCCAGGAACTCCAGGAGGTCAGGAAGTGTCGCAACACGACCTTGCCGGCCGGTGGGCCCTGTGATTGTCCAAGACAGGACACCACTTGGAAGCCGGTGGCCTCGCACACGATGGCGAAGAGGGTCATTGCAACGTCCTTGGCGTAGAAAACATCCAAGGAGAGGTGGAAGTTGAACTCGTAACACTGATTTGGGTCTTCTTCGCCTTATCGACTCCCCGCAAGCATCGCAAGCGAGGTGCTCGGCCCCCTTGATCGCGTCAATCTTGGCATCTTGACGCCGCAATATGCGCTGCAACGTCACATTCGTGGGGTGCCCGAACTGCACGTGGAGGTCACGAAGCACCTTGCGGACGTTGGAGTCGATCTCCAGCCATCTTCGGCGCCTGTCGCTCTCAGAGAAACTAAGGTCAGGCTCAAGTTGGGCAGCCCGTGCCGCACGTAGGTCTGCATCATCGGGCGGTCCAGCGTCAGGATCGATCCCCACGAGCTCGCCAAGCGTGCGTTCATCACCTTGAGCAGCGAGTTGTGGAGGAGCGGCCGGCCGGAGGTACACAGGAGGTGCTCCATATTGTGGCATAAGGACTGCTTGGCGGCCCGTCCTTCGCCTCCGCTTGGTGTCCTGTTCTTCCCGAACCTCGGCTGGAAAGGTCCTGCACTTGGCTCACCACATGCTTCTCCACTTCAGCTTGTTGTACCATAACATCACAGACGCGTTGGCATAGGCCTGGCGACCATCCTGAGGAGTTGGTGTGGTGGTTCTCCCGGCTGCACCGTTTGCCCATCACGTCGGTGGCGGCGATCATCGAGGTAATCAGGGTCACCGGCTTGCACGAGGGATGACCGCACGACTCGAGACAGTGTGCCTCAAGCTCGCCGCTCCGAACCATGGCCGCAACATCCTTCATCTCAGGGTCGGCCAGCCAATCAGCACCGGGAGGCTCCTCAAGGATGATGTGGCGCCGAGCCTTGACCCTATCACGCACGACCTTGTTCAGCAGGCGCAGGACCTTGGTCTGTTGTAGCTGCAGCGTTTCAGAAGTAAGTGCTGCTGGCCGGTCGCGCCCTAGGTCGTTGATTGTCCAGCTCCCGTGTGGTAGTAGAGGAGGTGTGACCACCAGCAGGTAGGGGTCCTCGGTGCGGAGGTCGTTGTTGAGCTGTCTCCTGCCATCGGAGGTGGTGCTTCGCCACCCGGCCGTGGACTCGTCCAAGGGAGCACCCAGCGCCAGGCCGAGCGCCGCACAAAGCAAGGAGAACCCAGGGTGACGAGCAAAGAGGTGCTTTACCCACACTCGACCATAGGGCGGCTTGTGGGTTACCCTGGGCTTGCCCCGAAGGATGTAGTAGTTCTGGGTGTCGAGGGCGTCCACCGCGGCCGTCATCGCCAGGATCTTCTTGCCCTTCTTGGAGGAGGCCTTGCGCATCACCTGCTTGTCGCCGTTGACGGTCAGGGGGAAGCTCCGAGACGTCCCCCGTTGGCTGCCAATTCCAGCCTGGTGCTCCTCGATCTCCGCTTGCGTCTCCTGCATCCAGGCCGTCACTTCCGTGCTCCGTGCCGGGGCTGGTGTGTCAGCGGCCGTGTCGGGGAACTGGTCCACGTCGGGTTCGGCAGCAAAGATGGTACGAACGTGGTTGAAGTCGGGCGGCCCGTCCTCGAACTCATCCAGCTTGGCGGTGTCGAAGTCCAGCAGGTTCACGGCTATGTGTCCCCTCTGGGTCTTCACGAGTGGGAGGTCGACCACGCCCAAGCTGTGAAAGGAAACGGTGTTGGCGCCGAGGTCAAGGACCGCCCCCAGCTCATGCATGAAGGGGCGCGACAGGAGGAGCGGCAGATTGCCCTCCACCTCGGCACTGTAGAGGTCGCCGTGCACGCCCTGAATCCCGATCGGAAAGATCTTGGTCACGGTGCTCAGGGACATGCCGCCGACACCGCGGAAGCGTTGGGTCTTCTCGACCTCGTGCACCGCCAGGCCCAGTGCTCGGAGCTGGCTCTCGAAACCCTCGGCCCAACCTGAGCCATGCATGGTACGGGTGCACCCAGAGTCGAGGATGACAAGGCCCGGCGGATCCTCAGGAGCCGTGGTGAAATTTTCGGGGACCCAGCCACCCGGGCTGACCTCGCCGTCCGGCTCGGGAAGAGAGTCGATCACTTCCTGGACCATGACCTCGCAGTCGTGCTCCACAACAAGCTCGGGGTGAGCGGGGTCCATGCACACAGGCACCCTCAAGGTTCGCTTCGTCACCATGTCGCCCGGGAGGAGGTCTCGCTTTAAGCCTTCCCGTGCGTCGCCGGCATGCTGGGAGTAAACCATGGCCTCTCTCAGCAGCTTGAGCTTGCAGTAGAGAAAGTAGGCGAAGCGGTAGACATCGGGGTGCATCGGGTTATTTCCCAAGGCAAAGGTCATCACCTGGGAGCAGCACCAGGCCGACTCCGCACAAGAGCTCACCTGGCCGAAGGTGGAACCACAGAAAGGGGGCTCAGTCCCGCACAAGGTCACCTCCGAAGGGAGAGGCATAAGGATGTCCTGGTCCTCTGTGGCGAGCTCGGGGAACTTCGGGAGCTCCGTCGCCGTAGAGAGGCACACGCCATATACCCAAGCCCTTAGTGGTTGCAGCTCGGACCGGACGATCCGTGCGACGGGCGGCACATCATGAGAGGAAGTGGCGCCCGACTGGTTCACGACGAGCTTCCAGCCAGAAGTGGGGGACTCATCGTCCGCCAGGCGTCCCAAGCCATAGCCGCGGTCAAGCTGAAGCCGTTGGGCCCGAGCGTCTTCATCACGTTCTCGGGCTGCTTCTCGTGCCAACGCCTCTCTTTCAGAGAGGGCTTCTGCTCGCACCTGGCCGACTCGAGCAAACAGTGCCCTTGACCTGGCCCTTGACCCCCACAAAGTACACAAAGCCACTTGCACCAGGAAGGACCAGAGGGAAACACCATCCTTCCTTTTGGCCTGGATGACGGCCTTATCGCACTCCGGCTCCTTGCACATGATGCTCCTCATGTGGCCGTTGGCGGCGCGGTGGAACTTCTTCTCGCGGCCGCCCTTGGAAGACGCGTGCTCACACAAGTTCGTCCTGAGGTTCACCAGGGCTTCGTGCTCAAGGGCCGGGGCGTCATGCTCGGCAACATTCGAAAATCTCGGTCGGGACTCCTTGCCGCCCGGGTCTGCCAGGAGGTCCGTGTAGTAGGCCTGGCCTGCGCCGTCGCCCTCTTCAAGGTCCGGGGACAGCACAAAGTAGGTGGTCTTGCCCGGCACCTTCTTGGGGGCCGGTTTCCTCTTCGTCTTGGCTCCTTGCCCTTTTCCTGGCTTCCGCTTGGGACAGGCCTCATCACCCTGCCAGTGACCTTTCATGCCGCAAGCTGTGCAGGGGGTCACCGACTTCAGAAACTGCACGGCCTGACGCTTGCTTTCGCGAGCCTTCTAGTCAAAGGAAAGCTCGCCCGAAGCCTTAAAGGGAAAGGCCCGGGACGCCGGATTTCCGGTGGCGCCCTTCTGCGACTCCTTGTGCTGGGGCCTCTTCTGCATCAAGGTAGCCAGGGCCTCTGCGACCTCCGGGTCCTCGAGATCAGCCTGGACCCAAGTGTCGAACGTACCGTCGCCCTCGTCCTCCTGGCCGTCCTGGTCATATTCGGCGACCTCATAAACCTCATCGGGGCCGGCGTCGCCATCATCAAGGGCCTCCTCGCTGTCAATCTCGGCCACAAGGGCAGTCTGGCGGCGAGCCTTGCCGAACCCCTTTGGAGGGCGAGGTGGCAAATCGAGGGAGGAGGCTCCCCTCGAGCATCCAAGGAAGTCCCTCCTCACAACCGGTTTCCCGCTGGCATATGAGTACTGCATCCGCATCGCGTGGGCGATCTTCTTCAAGTCGTAGGCATTCCCCACAGAGGCCAACACCGAATTGCAGTAGCATCATTGCCCGGATGTTGGCGGGCACGGAAGAGCCAGCCAGTACGTCCTCCAATCTCTTGAAGTCTTGCTCACGTCGAATAATGGACTGCTGCATATTCTCGGCCGGGCGCCTCCAAACAGCCGGGCTGTAGAAGGCGGTGAGGAACAACTCGTTGATTTTACCCGGCTGCTCGGCCGCTATCGCCTCCTTCAGAGTATCCAGGAGCAGCCGTATGCCCTTCTCCGTGGACTTCTTCTGAGCGTCCTCAGTCATCAGGTCGGTGTGCTTCAGGTGCCTCACGCTTTCATAAGCAGCACCCGTGAGGCCAGAGCGGAGGTGCACAGCGGTAGCGAGCTATGTCTAGTCCGACCCAGACCGGCCGTGGTAGAGGCCCCATGCCCGTTCGGCATACTCCTCAAAGGCCTCCGGGTCCCCAGCATACTGCGGTACACCGTA